CCTTATTCAAGACTAAGAAATACCTATCATCTTAGCAAAATTGTAGACTGAAATTATGTCATTAAACGTATCTTGATCTACTGTATATAATTCGAACTTATAATTGTAAAATGATCATAACCTAAGTAGAACATCTTCAATTAATTTCAACTGCTTTTAATTCAAAAGAATTGAGTCTTGTCTCAAAAAGAATAGTGCATTTGGAGAAGTTGCTTTGGCAAGATGCTTTGTTCAACAATAAATCATTCCTGAAGAATATAGAAAACAAACTACTTTATTATGATAAAATGAATTTAATAAAGATACGACGGATACATAAAAAGAAAAACTGGATTGTTAGTAGACCAACACAGTTCTGATATAAAATGGATTGTTAGAAACAAAATTAGTCATTGAAAAAAGAGAGAACAGATCATATTTTTATTTTTGTTTGTTATGGTTGATATGGCTCTGAATTATTTAGGTAACCACTTCCAGCTCTACCGACAACTAACACTGTTCCATTTGCTAAAACGGTTGCTGTGTGAATACATCGCGAAAAATACATATAACTAATGATTGCCCGCACTTCTTTTGATGCATCATATTATTCGGCACTATTCAAAATACCACCACTAACATATCCACCAGCGGGTGTGGTGTGGGTGGGCGTGGGCAGAGATTTCGTTTGTTTTTGACCAAGGGGGTGGGGGGGGGAGATTTTTCCCAAAAAGAATCTGCTGGAAGAAAACGAAAATATTTTTCCAAAGAGAAAATCTGCTGCAGAAAAACGATAAATTTTTCCAGGGAGACTTTCTCCCAAAATTTTAGGAGAGGAAAATTCCCTCCCTGATCGTATGGCCTGGGTGTGTGGGTGTGGGGTGTGGGTGGCATGAGTGTAGATAAATAGAAGAACCACACCCACACCCCACCCACCCACCACCCACACCCACAGCCACCACCTGCACCCACAGCCACCACCTGCACCCACATCCACACCACCTACACCCACACCCAAGATGGTCCACATCAAATCTGAACGGTTGGATTTCAATGAAATGGCATCACATACGACCGTTCAAAATTTACAAGATGAACAAAATGATCGCTTAATTGTAAGATAATATATGTTAACAATGAAGATTCTTTTTTTTTTTCAATTTTTAGATGTTGAATAAATTAATTGATACTGTTGCTACTGATATTGAACGTGTAGAATATTATTCGAAACGTGCAAGAATTTTATTTAATATGAACAAATGGAATGGTAAATTACTGTCAAGATTATAATTGTTTATAAGTATGTCTTTTTTAGATGTGTTGAACGATATACGTTTTTTGGAAAAAAACCAAGCAATGAGTGATGATTTATTAATCATTAAATGGTATGTTAAATTTGTTTTGACAGTACATTTATATGAAGTGTAATGTTCATTTTAAAGGAAATCAACACTTTATCATGAGATAAGTAAAGTTCGAAAATAAATGAAAGAGACACTTGGCGTAAAACGTAAGAAAACTTCATTCTATTAGAATATGCACTATCTAGATTTTTTTTTCCATAGTATTTGACAATAGTGAACATGTTGATTTGTATATCAATAACAGCGAAGAGAATACTAATGAACTTATTAATAGTAAGTTCAAAAAATAGTTATTATAATTGAGTATTTATTACATGTTCCTTCTAGAAAAGCACACTAGAAAGAATCAATCAATGTCAAAAAGAAAAAAAGATTAAAATTTAAAATGTTATGTTTTACTTTATGATTAATGATTGTTCTTTCTCGTGTTAATCTGTATATCTATTTACAGTTTTTTTTTGTTCAAACACTCATGTATTTATTGTAATTTGTGTTACTGCTGGACATAAATATTTAATTTCTTTGATTGAAGGCATCATGATATCGCAATCAACATAAATTATATAGGAAAGAATATCGAAAGGAATAAATATGAAGACAATAGCTTTGTTTAAGGAGAAGAAAATTGAGTGAGACGAAGAAGAGAAAACGATATACAACATTTTCTGTTGGAGCAATAATTTCGCTGAGACTTGTAAGACAACGAACTATTAAAAGATAGATAGAATGACAGAGGAAGTCACATGGTATTTATGTGCCATTGCTTTTCTTTGTTCGCAAGATTGAATAAAATGATGTTGAATTTCATGATTTTCTAGTTGATCCTAAGGTAAAAGAAATCAAATCAATAATGTCTTGAGTGATAGAAAATATCTCTCAATAGGAAACCGTTCTTGAATCGCAACTACGAACTATGAGTTGTTGTGGAGTTCAAAATAAAATTGTACACATTAAGCAGAATTTCATACTTTCTAACTTCGAATGTTAATAACTTAACGTATTCAATTTGATCATTGAATTTGAAGTGCGTTAGTCGTTAAAAGAAAGGGTTACAATACAAACTGGGGTCCGAATGCTCAGCTAACTATTAATATTGACTGGTTAAATGATGTATCAATAAGTAAATTTGAATTTGAATAGATATTTAGATTTATGGTTATTCGTTTATTAATTGTTCATGGTTCAACAATAGATTAGGTTTCATCAATTATGATCAAATTAATTTTCGTTCTAATATGTGTTATAGAACTGCATGCGTTTGATATTGATTATCGAACAAATACATTTTGTATCTGATTTAGCATCAAATACAATTTATAGTTGTGTTGAAAGAGCAAATAGTTATATTAGAGTAAAGAAATTTAAATAAAACAGATTTTAACTCTGACAGTGACACAGGCCTCGCAGCGGCACTACTTTCCTGATTTTTTCCTGATTTTTTTGAGAGAGTCCTGATTCGTCCTGATTTCAGCTATTTTTCCTGATTTTCCTGATTTTTTCCCATCGCTCGTCGATTATTATGAAAGACTAG